ATAACGTTAATTAAAAAAGTTCACCTGTATTCATCTATATTGGACACAGCCATACACTCATTAGAGTGACAGACACACCGCCATGCATAGGAGCAGCTGGCTGATTTACTGAAACTATATCCTGGAAAGCAATTCTATATTTGACAAACTCATAGAAGCTGTACTCTACTGTTGTGAAAAAAATAAGTCTAGCTTTCCTTCTTTTCTCCATCTTCAATTCTACTCTTTATTTCTTAAGATGGAACTATGAAGTATGATTTCCAGTAGAGACATATTTCAAAAGCCTAGGTATTTTAATCAAATGTACCTCTTCCTTTACACCTACTTTACAGCAAATAAAAGCATTTCCTTTGTAGGCAGGCAGACAGGACAAATGAAAATAGGCTTTTTCAAAGAAAACACCACACAACAAAGTCGGTTGCAAAAAGCCTTGGTAATGCATTAAATTTTGCCTTATATGAATACCTGATGCAACCACTAGGTTATCTATACCTCCATATAGTTTTCTGTAGCCTGTACATGATCCAAGAATCTCCTAGAATCCCATGATTTTATGATTTTACATGATTAACAGATTAAATACAAAGTTCATAAACTAATTCCATGCTTTCACCATATCTTTTAAGCAGCAGGAAAAATGAACTATACTAATCCTGTGCTGTCTACTCCCAGGTCATAGCAATTCTATAAGCACAACTTTTAAAAGCTTATTTTCCACTTGAAGCATCTAGCTCTTCTGAAACACATGTTCTGAAACACTACGTGTTCATGTAGCTTCCTGGAAGTGGCAACCGTTTTTAAAAAAGGTAAAAATGTTACAATACAATATTCACATCAATGATGCTGTAAAGCACAGCAAATCCTGTTTGAAAGTAACTTGTTATTGTAGAACACTTTTACAGCTGTTCTAGGAAATCACAAATTCCCCACAGAACCAACCTTTAAATACCACCTAGTTCAACCCTGTTGCTGGAGGCAGGGACTTTTTACCACATCAGGTTGCTTGAATGCTTCCAATGATGGGGCATCCACAACTTCTTCAGGCAACCTGTTGCAGCGTCTCACCACCCTCACTGTAAAAAATTCCTTCCTTATATTCAATCTAAAGCTATGCTCTTTCTGTTTAAAACCATTACCCCTTGCCTGGTCACTACAGGTCTTGGTAAAAAGCCCCTCTCCATCTTACTTATAAGCTCCCCTTATAAACCGAAAGGCTGCAAGAAGGTCTCCCTGGAGTCTTCTCTTCTCCAGGCTGAACAACCCCAACTCTCTCAGCCTTTCTTTGTACCAAAAGTGCTCCAGCCCCCTGATCATCTTCGCAGCCCTCCTCTGGACCTGCTCCAACAGGTCCATGTCCTCCTCGTGCTGAGGGCCCCAGAGCTAGACACAGTACTGCAGGTGGGTACCAGAGCAGAGCAGAGGGGGAGTATCACCTCCCTCGACCTGCTGGCCACACTTCTTTTGATGTAGCCCAGGACAATCAGCCTTCTGGGCTGCAAGCGCACATTGCTGGCTCATGTTCAGCTTTTCATCTACCAGTATCCCCAAGTCCTCCTCTGCAGGGTTGCTCTCAATCCCTTCATCTCCCCATCTGTATTGACACTGGGGACTGCCCCAACCCACGTGAAGGACCTTGCACTTGGCTTTGGCATGTGGTTAGCATGGGTCCAGCCCTCAAGCCTGCCAAGGTCCCTCTGGATGACATTCTTCCCCTCTAGTGAATGAACTGCACCTCTCAGCTTGGTGTCACCTGCAAACTTGCTGCAGGTGCACTCAGTCCCACTGTCTGTGTCATTGATGAAGATACTAAATAGCACTGGTTCCAGTACGGACTGGTTTCCTGGTTTACTGGTTTTCAGTGCAATATTGAGCTGCTGACTTTAAGTCTTTAGATGCAGCTATCCAGGCGATCCATCAAACCAACATCTCTCCAATTATGTAGGTAACAAACATCATACCTCCATTGTTATTGTCATTATTAATTATTTCAAATCAAGTAGCTGTCAAGTTCAGTAATCACTTAACTAGGGTAAATCCTTAACATTCCCAAGAAAGGAAAAAAAAACCACAACCCAAGCCAAAACATCACCATAACCACTTTAGGAGTCTATAAAAGGTCACAAGGATCACTGACACGTAGTTAATCCTAATGCACAGAACACCACCATAACTGCAGGATTAGAAGCCATCCTTCCCTAGCAAATAAACTTTTAACAGAAAACTGAGGAAGACGATGTCTTCATCTGTTTGTAAGCAAATTCTCCTTCTAAGAAGACAGTTTTGCCACCTAAACTTCTCTGTCTCTTTACCTAGTTGCACATTTGATAGCTTTCTCAGAGACACTTTTTTTTAAAAAAAAGACCTCCAAACAACTAACTCACTACAATCTTAGTCTGTATCACACTGCAAAGCCTCTCTTCCAGCCATCAAAATAATAATTTTATAAACTCTGATGAACCCAATTGCTGCATTTACTGTTCTTTTCAAAGGAAGAATTTGACCACTATCAGTGAAGCTACTGGTGCTGTGATAAAGATTCTTTCTTGCCCAGTAGCTGACTTCAAAAGTCCCATGCCCAACCTTCATTGCACAGTGGACTATGCACTCTCCTAATGATGGCTGCTGGCTCCCCTCTTTCCTAATGCATACCCATAATCAAGAAACAAGCAGTAGATAATTCTCCTTCCCCTCTCCTGCCCCCAAAAAGACAGTAAAAGCTATCTAGCCTCAGCCCACCAAATATGATCAGCAGGAGGAGCAACAACAGCAAGGTCAGTAGCTGCCTTCCTCAAGAACGTTAACAGCCAGAGGCTGAAAGCCATCAATACCCAAGCCCAGGCCACAACTATGCCAAGAGTTGAGGCAGACCAAATGTGTATGATTTATGGGTTGTATTTAAGTGACAGTGATACTACATTAATCCAATGAACATAAGTTATATTCTTAACTTCTCAGTTAAGATTAAAAAAACTTCAGAGAAAAAGATAAAGACTAATTGTAACTTGTATAGGGATATTAAAGAGCAAGTGACACCTAAAGAAATCTGTGTGTCAATTTTAATGACAATTTGGCATGGTGTCAATTAGGACAAACTATAATGAACAAAGAATACAAAATGTGATTCTTTGAAATAAGTCTATAAATTATCTTTTTTTTTAAATTTAAAGAGCCAAACAAACAAATGCGAAGCAAAATTTTCTTCAAGTAAAATGTTGTCCTAGCTTAATTTTTGTTTGTTTTTTATAGAAAAAAATGCAGCCACACAATCACCCTCAATACACGTTTCACCCTACAACACTTCAAATCTGTGCTGTAGTTTTGTTGTTCATCGCATGTCACATTGAAGTCACCAAGATAAAATTATTATAACAGTTGCCTTAAAAACCTAGTGTCTGAATTCTGTGAACTTGGGCACAGCACCCAGTTAGTGTTTAGAAGTCAACAAGACTGAAGTTAAGTACCAGGTCAAAGCCTGCTCTCTTTCTTTTCTCTTACAAATACACAGGGACTCTGCCAGTGTCAAGAGGAAGGATGACTCATCAGCTGATGAAATGAAAACTCACTGAACCAAGTGTTTAAGACTTCATACTGGGCCTCTCCTTTGAAAACATTTTACTGAAAATATTTGCTGAAGTAACCTTTGAAATCAGTAGATGTTTCAAATGAGTGACAGCAAATGAACATTAATGTAAGCTAATCACAGGTAGACACAGTTTTGAAAGTTTCCAGAGGGTTTCAGAGGAATGTTCCCGTACCAATTGCTTCAGTTCTCAATGAGCTGGATGAATAACTGAAAGCATGGGCTATTACTTGGGTATTTTAGAAGTTAACTGAACTTTCCCAGTTTACATGACAGTTGCTTGGTTTCTTGAGATTTTTAGAAAAGCTCCCATTCACAATGGCTGGTGATAGCAAATATGCTGCATCATGTGTCTACACAAAGTCTTTCCCCACACAGCTCACGGACTAGCGACTTTTGCTGCTGCACAAAATATGAAGGGCACTTCCCCTGCACCAAAAAACATAAAATAATTTTATAACAGAAAAAAAGACTAAATATACAAACCAATACCTAAGTAAGTTCAGCTAAAAAGCAAACTGAACAAAGAACGAACAACATTTATCTGTAACCTTTTCATTCTCAAACTGTTGGTCTATAGAACTACTAACTTGCAAATGATAACTTCTAATCCCTGTCCTAAACTAGTTGAGGCAGAATGCACAGCCGAAGTGGTGTCTAGGTTAACCTATACAGGACCATGTATCAGCCTTTGGAACAATTCTTCACTAGTCACTTGAGGCTTTTTTTGCATCATTGCTGATAATCCTTACTACAGAGCACACCAGATTGACTGAGATTCATTAGTCTTTCAAGCTGCAAAACTCTGAATAAGCCCAACTAGTCATAAGAGGATGAATGTTTACTTATATTTGAAATTCTCTGAATAAAAAAATTGCTTTAAAGTAAAGACTATTTCAGCTGAGAGAGCACACACAGTAGCAACAGTATTTGCATTTTTGTGGTGTTTTCAAGAATCTCTTTTACAATTACTAGCTGAACAGATTTTATAAAATTATAAAGTTTTACTCTTAACTTGTAAATATATGGTGAATAAATTTGTTTATGTTCCAGCACTTCCAAGATAAAAAAGAGAAATCCTACTCTTAGGATGTCAATGTAATCCTACAACATTGATTCTGTTTCTTTTTAGAATTTTATGTAACTTACAATATTACAGACTATATGGAACACTTACATGTACATCTGTACTGCTAAATTAAATTTACATATGCCTTCTCAATTCACCAGTTTCTATAACAAAAGTAAATGCTCTTTTAAGACAGGAATGATAACACGTTCATAAAACCATTAACTTTTTACATGTATATAAAGATATAAATATATATATATATATAAAAAATATAAAAACGCCATCTATGAAGTAAGACCACTTTTTACTCCCTAAAACCAAACAAAACCACCCAGAAAAACACCTCACCTGCATCAGCTCTGGACCGCTGACCTGGTGATTTTCCAAATGGGGTCTTCATTCATCTGTGTTTAAGTGAGCAGCAAAGCTGCTGGACTAGGGTGAAAATCCAGTTCTTCCAACTTCCAGGATATCTTCTACTCTTGGAATAAGAAGCTACTTATTAATCCACCATTCAATCATGAATTTGTCCTTCCTCAAATGCAGGAGATGCACTTTGAATTACAGTAGTCTGAAAAGAAAAAAACAAACCAGTTAAAGTAGTTTGATTTGAGACTTGGTTGGCTAAGATAAGCATTGGCTGACTTGGTCAAGATAAAAATATTTCGTTTCATTTTAATGCTTGTTTTCATACCTAACCATAAGTTCCTTCATATCCTGCTACTCTGAAAACATTCAGATGGCATATAGGCAAGAATACAGCAAACCAAATACTAGTGCTGCTATTTTCCCTCATATTCACAGGCAAGTTTCATATCAAAGTCAATTAGACATAGCAAGGAAAGCTTCTGAAAAACCACTCATCTTAGGTACAGCAAAGAATGACTACTAGCTTAGAAGAAACTGTGCTACCTTCATCAGAGGTAAAGCACAAACCAACTAATTCCCTTTATTAGAAATGAAACACCCTCACCCCCACACAGTATAACTTTGCTCCGTTGAAGTTAAAAAAAAGTCTGTTGAAGAAATCCAACACAAAAGGTAACAAAACCACTGATGCCACTGCAACGACTGCTCAAGCCACCAATTTGTTGAGGAAGTCATCAGTTCACAAGGGACCCACAGAAGTTTTTGGCAACTCTCTACACTTAAACTCACCAGATTCCTAAAACATTTAGTCATCACACTCCTCTAGATGAGGGAGATAAGTGACAACTTTTAAGTCCTTTTCAGGATTTAATGACAGAAAGTTGTGATCACTGGAAAAGCTGAAGAATTTCAGGTTGACTTATTTCAGATTAACATTTTTGGACAGGAAGTATTTATTCACACTAATCCATTACTTCAGTGCTACACACAGCTAAGACAAGTGAGATGAATTCGTCCTTTTAACCTCATTTCCTTAAGAAATGTCATTGTCGAAATCATGTTCTCTGTACTTTGTTAATCTGCACTGGTCTTCCCTCTTTTACTTCAGTTTTGGAACCTCCCATCGATTTTCATGCAGGGGTTAAAAACAGATGAACACCCCTAATTAGTGACCCCAGCTGAAAGAAAGAGTAGACCTTATGCTCATGCCTTACTGAATAAGGGAACATACAAGGACATGCCTTGAGGTATAGTAAAACTTGTTACACAGAAAAATGCATTTACATCTAACAACACCTGTCAATTATTCCATGAATTGCACCCATTAACTTCTAGGAACATCAAAGCAACACAGAGGAATACTGCTAGGAAAACACAGCAACAGGGAGACAAACATTCAGTAATTTGCCGTTTTTACAGAGATCTGTACTATGTTTGGAAGAGCTTAGACATTCGCAGACAGGAATTCATAAGAGTTTGTGAAATTAAAAATTCATTTACAGGAATTTACTAGTTTTTCCCACATTTCATCTCTTCCTGAAATCTACCAGTGTATACATAACAATGCTGAACAATACCAGGGCAGCAATAGACAACTTTTTAAAAGCACCTGAAGATGCAATAGGAAGCAATTAACTTGCTTAACTACTTTACCAGAATACAGCATTAGGATTACTTTTTCTACTAAACTCAAAAATGTTTTACTATGGATTACAATACATTAGTTCAGAAGCATCACTGACTGATTACGAAAACAAACTCTGAATTCAGAGCATTGCTGTGATAGACCATAACATTCAGACTTGCAAGCACTGCATAAGCATACAAGAGATGAAATTTTTTCTTCCAGGAGAGCTATTTAGTTGAGTATTAACTGTAATCCAGTATTATACTATGCCACTTTTTTTAAAAAAAACAAACAAAACCCACACAAAACCCAGCAAACTACAAACAACAAAAACCAACCAAACAAAAATCCCCCAAAACCCAGCCCCCTCAAACCATAAACCAATCCCCTTAAACCACAAATTGTGAAAATCCTTCAGATTTAGAAACTAGTCCTATTGCAGTAAGCCACTGACCTGCTACTCAAGAGGCTGTAAATATTTCATAACACCTGTATGTATTCTATATCCTCCCCCTCCAAGATGTCCAATTCTTGGCAAAAATATAAAGTACTATGTAGATATTTTTATTTCACTGGTTGTTAAGTAGCTATATTTACAAAGGTAACTAAAGCACCACAAGACCTGTGGTTTTCTACTAGTTAACTATTATTTTATGGTATGTCTCCAATCATGACTATGCCACAAGTTTGAAGTCATGCTTCTAAAAAGGAAAATTACTCCCCAATCCTTTTAAAGTCAATTATACTGCTAGCACTTAATGAAGTGTTTCACTGTGCTCTCTGAACCTAAGGACACAAGACTACTGAGTTCAAAGCCTGACTCAATAGGCTGATCTGATCTTCTAGAAACTAAGCCAGCAACTGTTACTAATTCAAAATCTCACTAAAGATTTTGACCAAAAAGCAAATGAAACTTGTATTCCCTAAAATTAGCATTCTGAATTCAATTTACATTTCAGTTGCACACTGACAGTTCTGAAGATGTTAATAAGGAGCAATAAAACCTGATTTCCTGAAAATAAACTGATGTACCTGGAGAACATCTTGACTTATAAAGCATATGTAACTAAGTTTGATTTACTTGATTAAGAATAAACCAAACCCCGTAAAACTTAGGATTCTTAAATACCATGAATGACAAAACACATTTAATGCCATCATGCAAATATCTTAAAACTCTTAAGATGGAAATAATCAAGAAAAAAATTAAGTCACACAATGTGAAACCTTTATTACAAAATTCTATTACAAGCCTCAAGGAATGTCATGTTTCACATAGAAGTAGAAAACAAAATCAAAACATGCTTCCGACGTACTCTGTACCAATACGCTATACGGTTGAGGAAGAGCAGAAACTCCTTGTCTGGATGTATATAAGATAACCTATTAAACAACTTTTATAAGGTAATTCTGTTGATAGTAGATACAGCAAAACCAACAAAAGTAGCTTTTTTGGATCCAAAGCAACACATCCAAAACAAGCTATACTAGTCTTTACAGACTGACACTGCCAGTAACCTTCAGAAGAGAACTGCCACTGCCTATCAGTTCGGCCCTGATTTCCACAGCACCTGACAGCACAGGACCCCAGCAACACCACAGCTGCAGGTTTCACTTAAAGACAAGCATTCTTTTGACTTATCATCAGCTGCAGCTACTCCCCAGCCCAGGTGTTGTTTTTACAAACCTTCCTAGATTACAACACACAGGAAAAACAACGTGGGAATTAGGTGACTACTTGGTCTGATAGTGTTCTAATTATTGTGGAGTATTTCACAGACTAAAACCGCAAGCCCTACAAATTTGTCAGTCATACCAGCTTTAATAAGAATAGTACAATCATACTATCAGAATGGTGAGGAAGACAACACTAATACAGAGAAAAATAAAGCTGTGTTAAAAATTATTTTTGCACTATAAAGGCAAAAGGAGGAAAAACCAGCATACACACAACTGCAACTTTCACTGTGAACCAGCTTAACCCCTCCATAACCGTATTTAGAAACATTAAAGTGTTTTTATATGAGCTTTTAACTCCATGAAAGTAAGTGTAACCACATAAAATAATTCTCTAGCTTAACTTTCAGTTAACATTCACACTTGGTTTTCCACCAAATTACATGCATTTCTCTGCAACACACAGCACAACACTGTTTATTGCATTCTAGTGAAAGCTTCATGACCCTACTATCCATGGAAAATGGATGTTAGTAGCACAAAAGCATAGCTGTGATAATTAATGGTAATAGCACCAAACCCACAAAATTAAGTGCTTCACTCCTAAAATAGCATATCTAAATTTTACCACCGTGAACACAGAAGGAAATAGTATCAGAACATTTGCTGAGGCACTGTTTTAAGGGTAAAAGTCTGGAACTGGAAGGAGAGGGAGGGTAATAGCATGAGTTGCTTTTAACTCTTTGATACAGAGTAAATTCAGATTATACACCCTCTGATGTTACTACAGGCTTGCACCTTCTCAAGCGGCCTGTTGCTGCTGTCAGAGCTACCCATGAGCAGCAGGCCACCCAGCAGACTTCAGTACCTAAAACATCTCTCTTGCATGCAACTTCCGCGCTGTACTTTTGCACTGGCGGTTGTTTAGTGGAGGACCAGCATGTCACAAGACTGTTCCATGGAAAGAGTCACCCTGAAATCGAATCAGCTAAAGAGATTCCTCAGTAAGTAGTACTGTTTTCCATAACTCAGCTCAGAACTGCTGGTACATGTTTCAGTTGAAGTAGTACCATAGTTACACCGCTAACAAGTTGGATGAAGCATGTATGTTACACTCCCTAATTCTTACTGTATGAACAGAAAGGATCATTCTATAAAAGCCTTCTGCATCCCCCTCCCCAAAGGCAATCTCAATATTAAACTACCTCTTAAATAACAGGAATAAAAATGTATGTCCGATTTTAGTTTATTTACTTTTTATTTTTCTTCCCTAATAAAAACAACTTTCCTGCTGTTTAAGAATTCAGCCACTCAAATTCCAAATCTTTTCTGAAGTATCCTACAGGGTCAACCAGGATATCGGTTATTAAAAACTTTTAATTCTATCACTAGTATTTTGTGTGGGTAGTAACAACTGGTGTCTGAGAAGAAAGATTACAGTATGTAAACTCTGAACATAAAAGTGATTTACAGCTGACAACCATCAAGAGCAATGTTTCAACTATGGATTTATGACTTGAAAGACCCCAAATCAAATACTACTACTCCTTCCCTATGATCACCTCTGCAATTCTTCCTCTGCCCATAGATGTGTTGGTATTTGACTAGAATTGTACAGAAAGCAGCAACACTGCCATGCAACTCTGTGCACATATATACATACACACACAAATGCACATTTGTCTGGTTGGATGGGGCTTTGAGCAACCTGGTCTAGTGTAAGGTGTCCCTGCCCATGGAACTAGATGATCTTTAAGGTGCCTTCTAACAGAAACCACTCTGTGATTCAATGATAGATAGAAAGACAAATAAAATTGTTACCTTCATGCAACAATGCTAGAGTGATGCAACTGCAGATTATTTAGCAGGCTAAAAGAATCAGAAATTTGTGCC